TCAGATTTCACTTAAAATCCTAGAATTCCAGTTTCTTTTGAATAGAATACTGAACCATATATATGTACACACACACACACACACACACACACACACACATATATATATATATATCTCCATCTATCTATAGAAAACCAAACAGAATTTCACATTATTTTTGAGTAAACAAATGAGCCCAATACCACAAGGTTATTCATAAACACACACACACACACACACACACACACACCCCTATTGCTTGATATACATTACATAGCCCTGGAAAGACTCCTAATAAATAGATAATATTAGTTGCCTCCAGCGAGGCAAAATCGGTGACTATAGAATAGGAGGGAGACATTTTTCACTATGTGCCCTTTTGTAAATACTGAATTTTGAGCTATGTGGAATGCACTGACAATTTAAAATGCATGTTTTAATTGAAAGTTTTTAAATTTTAGGGAAAACAAAACACATGTGTGAGCTTGTGGTCTGTAGGTGTGAGGCACCGCAGCTCGCTGTATATGTGCAGTGTATATAGGCTAATTGTTTGTACCTCTAGCCTAAATTCAGGTGGTGGCAGTTAGCATAATAAGAAAGAACCAGATACCAAATACAAAGGGGAAAAATATACAACAGCCGTTGGCATCTAATTAAATGAGAAAATGAGGAAGAGGGGAAAGTTTAACACCAGCATTTGAGCATGGGATATGAGTCCCACAACAGCTACATTTTTCCACTGCTTACTTCACTTTCATGCTGCATTCTAAGTGTTTACAAAATTAACACACTTATTCTTCATAGCAACCTTATGAGGTAGTTTCTATTATCCCCATTGCACAGATGGGAAAACTACAGTCCAGAGTTTAGATAAGTTCACCATTACTATGCTCATAGTAAATTGCAGAACCAAGGAAGCGAAAGGAAGAGTCTTGAATAAGGGATGAGTGAAGAGTCGAGAGGTGAAGCTCTGTATTAGGAATAGTGAGTGTGAGGTTACAACAGTGTCAAATTGCTAGTGATCTGAAATATCTGGATTGAGCTCTTGAGTTAGGTTATTACTCCTTAATAATCCTAGAGCTTGATTTGCCAACATCACATCTTTTTTGTCTAAATACACAGATAACATATTTTAGTGTATTAAATGGAGCATCTACCATCTTTCAGATATTTAAATCCAGCTTCCTGTCCGCCAATCTACATTCCTCTTCTGCAAACACACAGCAGCATTTAAATAAAACAAATATTTTAAAATGACAAATATAATGAGACCCTCAATTTATGAAATACATATTAGATATCAGGCACTGGGTTCAATGTTTACACTATTTATAATTATGAATCACCATTTCATTTTAGAGATGAGGAAACTGAGGTTAAATGATGAAACTCAGTTGAGGACAAACAGAACAGAAATTTAACTTCCAGGTATAAAAAAAATCTAAATAAAAAATATTAGTATATAAAAATCAGGAAGAGGCCAGGCAGGGCCAGTGGCTCACACCTGTAATCCCAGCACTTTGGAAGGCCGAGGTGAGTGGATCACCTGAGGTCGGGAGTTCGAGACCAGCCTGACCAACATGGAGAAACTACATTTCTATTAAAAATACAAAATTAGGCCGGGTGTAGTGGCTCAAGCCTGTAATCCCAGCACTTTGGGAGGACAAGCCGGGTGGGTCACCTGGGGTCAGGAGTTCAAGACCAGCCTGGCCAACATGGTAAAACCATCTTC